ATCGCTGCCGCAACATCAGCGCTTATAAAAGCGGCCAGTGCCGCTCAAAGAGAGTTAATAGCAACGGGGAAAGTATCTCGAACACCTTTGACCAGTTCTGACGATGGCCAATGGTCCGAAGGATTAATTTCTGCCGCGAGAATGGTCGCAGCAGCGACTCACAGCCTCGTGGAATCGGCAAACGCTTTGGTACAGGGAGTCAGCTCCGAGGAGAAACTGATTTCCAGCGCGAAACAAGTAGCTAGCAGCACGGCGCAGTTGTTGGTCGCTTGTAAAGTAAAGGCAGATCCGGACAGCGACAGTACAAAGCGTTTGCAAGCAGCTGGAAATGCTGTGAAACGCGCTACAGACAACTTGGTGCGAGCAGCTCAACAGGCTATTCAGCAAGAAGAGGATAGATCATTGATTCTGAACCGCAGAATGGTGGGTGGTATCGCTCAGGAGATAAATGCCAGATCAGAGGTTCTGCGTATTGAGAGAGAACTGGAGGAAGCTAGAGGAAGACTCACCGCTATACGACAGGCCAAGTATAAAAATCGGCCAGACTTGGCTGACACTGACACAGAACCCGAACAGAACAGCGGCTATGAGAGCTACACAACCAGATACGAGACCAGATCTTATGAGACTCAATCACAGATGAGTTATAGTATGTATCAACATCATTCTACATCGCACAATATTAGCCAACTTTCTATGGATAGACAGACTCTGGTCAGTCCAGAGAAGGTTCACTCTACGCAGAGCACATTAGAGAAGAAAAATATAAATTTAAATCAATATTAATGCCAATTCATTGAAAAAGAAATTAGGTTTTGTTAAGAAGAATAGTTTAAAGATTTGCGTTTAAAAGTAATTAATCATGAAGTTTTGTAATGGAATTTTGATCGTATTTCGAATACTCCAAACAATAGATTGTGAATACGATTGTGGAATATATTCGATGAATATTCAAATTTCTACATTCGAAAGCAATATTACTAAATTTACGTCCATAAATATGAAACATATTCAAAGAGAAATATATTCGAATGGCAAGAAATATTCGAAATCAGAATTTTCTAAATATTATCACTTTTGTTATCTCGTTACATCAAAATAATAATGATAGAATTGCATTAGTCTATGATAGTCTTTGCGATGATACGATAGAAAAGTGCCCTTAGCTAGAATTAACTGTATGCTTTCGCAATTAGATTTTATAAGAATAATTTTTGATTCGACTATAACCGTCCATCTTTTCCACGAACTTATCAATTTAACACGAACAATGATTGGAGAAAATTGCAAAGCACATTTTTCTACACATTTTTTGTTTCGACGATTTTTACTACTTTGATAAAATATTTACTTTTGCTCTTCCTTTTGAGATAATTTTTTGAAAAAATATACAATTGAACGCAAATTTACACAAGAATATTTGTATTTACATTCTCGAGGGAGAGTTTAATGGATTTAAGATAATTTCATAGAATCTGCACTTTTTAAAATATATATTTATATTTAACTATTAAGAGAATAATCATACAAGATCAGAGGAAGAAAGATGTTTCTTTTTTTATTCTTTGGTTTTCTAGACAAACGATTTAATAGTCGTTATACACCTGATTTAATTTAGATCTAATTTATCATAATTTTAAGTTTAAGATCACAGATTAACAAGAAAAGCAACATATCATTTAATTTTATTAACTTTCCGACAATGTGTGGTCTAATCCCACAGAGTCTTCACCTGTTTTCCCTTAACATTTTCCGTTTTTCTTGGGATTAACATTATTATTTAAGTCTTTGTTCATTCTGACAATTAGTAATCGTTACTTGAACTTATGTTTCTTCATTACCTTTCTTTATTGTCTTTCTTACATTATCTTTTACTCGTTGTTCATCATACGATGGCTTGATAATTTGGTGGTTATTTTTTACACTTTAATAAGAGATTTGATCATCAGCTTTTTTAAATCTAACACAACATAACAAAACGTAACACAAAGATTTGTAAAATCTTATGTATCGCCAAATCTTGCACGAGTACTACGTAGGATAATTCTAAGTTTCAAGTAGATTTTAACAAATTTTAATGCGAGTAAATTTGAATAGGAAAAGATATATAAATGAGATATATATTGGATAGTTAAATGAAAAGACTATCTTTTTTATCTTTTTTCTTCTTATATATATATATTTTTTTTTATAAAAGCGGTACAAATATAACAAATGTTAAATTACTTACTACATTTTTTCTTCATAAAATTGTAAAATATTTAAAAATGCAATTTTTGCAATTGTAAAATATTTAAAAAAAAAAGTGTCATATAATAATTTGTATGATTTATTCATTTAATTTTGGAATAGATGATTGCACATAATTTCATTCTTTTCTTATTGTTAGATTTTTTAAAGATAAAAATCTCTATCTTTATAATTTCTCAAGAAATTTAGATATTAAGTTAGAGTTAAATAGTAACTATATTTTATGACGTGAAAATTATTTTTCATTGAATTAAATCATAAAGTTTTTTTAATTTTTAGAATCATCTTGTATCATATTAAATGCGATTAACAATAACAAATAAAATAGCAATAGAATAAAATTAGATACAAATAACTGCTGAACATACAAAAAACATTATAACAAAAATTGAACAAAATATTTATCGTGAAACGTCCTAGAATAGATCATTTATTTTTGTTACTGCGAACATTAAGCTTTTTTGACAAGAAAAAGAAAAAAATAATATAAATACCGTAATGAAAATTAATATAAAAGTTATGCACATTTAAAGAGGCTTGATTAAAGTATAATTATAATATATATAGATATATAGATATTTTAATGAAATTTGTATAAAAATGCCAATAATCTTTTATAAAAGTGAAGTGTATGTTAAAAAAGAATTTTAAATAGAAAATATATTTGTGCTTTTATTAAAAGTCATAACTAGAAACAAAATCTTTAATTCTCTTGAAATTAAACACGAATTATGATTTTTATTAAATATAATTAATTCAATTATATGGATATTGTATCATTCAATATCATGGAATCATTGTCGAATTAAAATAAGCATTTGTAAAAAATTTCTTCTTTTTCAATTTTAGATTTATATATAAAAGATCACTTTATACACGAGAAATATATCAATTTTATACGTTTTTACAAATTTTGAACAATTTTATATATTGGAATTTATATAACAGCTCTATTACTTCTAAGCATTTGTAATTTCTTTACATATTTTTTTCTTGATCATGTGTTTGAACTTGAGAAGAAAAGTAATTCGATTTAGATAGAGGAAAGAAAAGAAGATATTTCAAAGCGTGAAAAAAACATTCTTGAAAATTGATTGGAAGGTCTGCACAGACCTGTTCCAAGTGATCGATTAGTGCAATTATCGTTAGTCTTTCGAAGCTAAGTGAAGAATTTGTACATAGATGTTAGATAAATATTTCGCGTAAAAAGGAAAGAAAAAGATTTGACGAATCCATAAATGGTGAAAAAGAAAAAGTGCCTGAGTCTAATGAGCTGCCGCTTTTTTTCACGTGCTACGTAGAGAAATTCGTAAGATTTTCATATATTACCAAAAATATCAGATGCTTTACTAATGTTCGATAGCATGATTGCAAAAAAAAAAAAAAAAAGAAAAAAAAGAAAAAAAAAGGAAAAAAAGAGAAACGAAGATCCCTTTGTACGAAAATACAAACATTCTCAGAGGAAAACAAAAAAGAAAAAGAAAAAGAAAAAGAAAAAAACGAGGAGACAGATTTTTTATTGTTATTGTTAAAAACTTTTTTTTTCAAAGGGATCTATATACAAGTATATAAATATATATGTATGTGTATATATACATTATTGCATTTAGTGTTATATATTTTCAAAACGATCGCCAATCGTATTTTTATTTTATATACATATATACTTATAGAGTGCCATGATATATAGAAAATTAAATATTATATAAATACAAATAATAAACCTGGAGGAAATGATATACGATAGATAATTCTCTATATATTATTATATATTAAATATGTATATGTCATTAAGGTGTTAAAAAGGGAAGAAAGCGCAGAGAAAGAGAGAGAGAGAGAGAGAGAGAGAGAGAGAAAGAGAGACGGTTTTTACAAATTTTAAAACACTTTGTATTCATTGTTTTTTGACAATCCAGATTTATATACAGGATATTTTTAATCCATTGTATTTAATACAATTAATACGATTAAATCTTATCGTGGAATGTTATACGAGTTGTAATATTATATTATATTATTATATTAGATATATTATTGGTTTATTATTATTATTATTATTATTATTATTATTAATATTATTATTATTATTAATATTATTATTATTATTATTATTATTATTATTATTAATTACAATGTACGTACAGCTACGAGATGATTATGACGATGAATATTGTTTTATTATAATTATATTACAACGACTATTCTCGAATGTAGGTATTAGCCCTAATTATATTAAAAAATAATAAAGAGTTTCTAACATTTCATTGTCGTGGATCATTGGAAACTGTGTGTTTCCATTTCTTTATCATACGTATTTGTGTAATGAATGACAAAAGTGCGATATGTATGTATGATTTTAATTCTTTAAGTCCTTACGATACTTACTCGTGAAACTATAAATATTCTTAGAATTTGATTGCAATATAGAAAAATTATACATAAAAATATTCAGGACATTTATTTCTCGAATAATTTTCGAATATTTGATACAAAAATTTGGTAAAAAAAAAGAAAAAAGATACGTAAATCAGGACTTAAAGAATTTAACAGGGTATTTAAATTATTTAATTGGATTATTTAATTATTCTGTGAAATCATTTGTGAACAATTAAAAAATTGATGCGAAATATACTCAATAATGTGGATTGAAACGATATAAAAATGTGGATTGAAAAGATATAAGATATTTGATGATATTATGATTTCACGATTTGATACGAGGTAGTTGAATATAATAAGCGACGACAATGATATTTCCGATGTGTTAAAAGTCTTCAATTTTAAAAAAAAGTTTTAAATTATTTCTTTAAGAGATATTCGATGACTAGTTTTTAACGAGTGCCTTGTCCAATGCTTTTGTTATAAACCTTGGAAGAATAAATGCTGCTCGATGCACTTGATCGTTATAATATTTCATGTTCATCTGGTCAAGCTCGGTGTCGTTGAAAACTTTTGTTGGCTCTTTGAAATTCGTTTCCTGAAATATACATATATTTATGTTTAATCTCACTTGAAGATATATCATTGTGTGAAGAAATAAAATTATATATATATATATTAAGAAAAATATAGGAAAAAGTAAAGAAGTATAGTAAAGAGAAAATTGAAATGTGAATTTACAGGATTTAATCCCCCGAGCACGAATCCAATTTGACCTGTAGGGTAGGTAGGCACGGAAACAACACCATAAGATGCAACCGGAAATAAAGATTTACAACGTTGTAACGTTTGTGTCACGTGATCGAGATTTAACCATGCAGTTCCCGCTTGACTGCAAACGATTCCACCTGGTTTCAATGCACTTTTCATCAGATTAAAGTATGATTCTTGAAATAGACACTCTGCCGGACCTATTAAATTAATAAACATTTTTCATCTCGTTTTTATCAACGAAAATTTCATTTGCACAAAAAAAATTATATTTCTTACTTTATGAAATGTATTCACATAAATCTTCCATTTATAAATATATTTGATAATGTATTAATTTTATATTTAATAATATTTATTCATTGACATTCAATGACACGTGTTCACGTGTTCATAATATATTTTTAATTATAAGAAATCTACTTACCGACTGGGTCACTGCTATCGGTGATTATAACGTCAAATTGCCCACTATGTTGCTTCAAGAATTGAAAACCATCGCCTATGTTAAGCGTGACTTTAGGGTGATCCAGTCCGACACCCATCGAGGGCAAATATTTTTTCGATACCTCCAACACTTTCGGGTCGATTTCCACTTGCACGATCCGTTCTACCTGTGGATGTTTGGCTACCTCACGAGCAACTCCGCCATCTCCACCTCCAACTATCAAAACCTGACAAAAATAGAAACGCAAAGGAGGATAATGGGCTTGTTATAATTTTTAATTTTAATTTTAATTTAAATAAAGAAAAAAAACACTAGAATAATTAAGAATAATTAAAAAAAATGTATAAAAAGTACTATAAGAAGATAATATAATATTAGAGATTCTTGTTTTTAAAATATTTGATCCACGTATAGAAACTTACAGTTTTTGGATTTGGATGGCTGCACAACGGTAGGAAAGCAATCATCTCCTGATACGAAAACTCGTCTCTCTCCGTGCATTGAATGATACCATCTAAAATTAGGGTCCTTCCATGTGATTTCCTGTATACGTGTAATTAAAACAAGTTCCTTTTGAAATAATGACAAATCACTAACTTACTTCAACTTCAATTCCTTTCTGCTTTCTTTTTTTCTATTTTTAGAATTCATATATTTTCATTAATATTTTTCTTAACAAAAAAAAAAAAAAAAAAAAAAAAGATAAAGAAATTACAGCATTCAAAAATATATATATATATTCATATAATTACTTTTAAATTATTATGCGACAAAATTGTAAATTAATTTTATAAAAACATTCACACATTATTAGAATAAAAATATCGAAAATATCGATAACATAGAAAAAATAAATTTTGATATATCTTTATTTTTTTAAATTTTAATTTCGATATATTCCTTTTCCAATATCACATTTCCAATCGTACTTCAAAGCAATCGTTTAATTTCCTCTAATTATTTTATTTAAACAAGAAGCCAAACCCCAAAGGAAAATAAGTAAATGCGCAATATTTACGTTTCGAGCACCATCACGTCCTGATACTGCGATCGTTCTCGATGGAGTACCTTGACGACCTCGAGGGACAATGATACACCTGGCCACAGATCGTTAATTTCACTGAACCATCCAGGTTTGATCGCATCCATTTCTCTTTTTCCGCCTCTTGTTCTCGGTTTACCACACCGGTGTCCGTTCACGGTTTCGAGATTCAACTGGAAGTAGACACCGTCGGTCGGTTAATCGTGGACGAGGAAAATAAAAGTGCTAACTTTTTTATGCGGCCAAACATGTTTCCCTACGACACGGATCGCCACTTCCACTACAACTCCGGAGCGGGTAACTTGAAAGAAGAAATGGCGAAACTCGTTTGTCACTCGTGTATTCGTGCTGCTAGTATCCAGCTGTTGACCCGGTATATAGCTTGCTTTATACGTGTTGTTGTTTGTCACATTATTAACCTTTTCTCCGAAAAAAAAAAACAGTTTTTGTTGTGAATGGGTGAAAAGGAGTTGTTGTTAATGCAAAGGGAAATAATCGTGTAAAGATTTGAATACTTATTGTTAAGCGGTTAAATGTAAAAATTATATGCGACGATATTCTAAAAGAAAAGTGTGAGAGACAAGTGTAAGAAGAAAGAAGTAATTCTTTGAAATTTAATTGCTTTAAATGGTTTTTTTAATTATTATTGATATTGATTTTAATTTATGTGTCATTTGATCGTTTAAAGAAAATAATTTTATATTATAAATTTAAGTAAATTTGATTATTTGGAAAACGTTTGACAAATAAACATTATATCAGGTGTCTTAAGCACTATGTCTTATAAAGTAGAAAGCCACGTGTATAAATGTAAACATTCGACTATTAATTAGCAGTTGAAGAATTCAGATAATAAACACAATTCAAAAATTTTGGATCATAGTTTTAGTTTTATTAATTTTCGATTAATTTTTCTTATCGACTTGAAATTAATAGTACAAATTCTTCTTGATTATGTATAAACATTCGATTTTGTTTTTTTATGAAATAGTATATTCTAAATTATTGAAACTTAATGTATAAATATCACATGTATTATTTAATCACGTGTATTTAGCTAAGTCCTTCTCAATTCCAGTACAATTTAACGATAAAAACAAGTTTCTTCTCTTCTTTTTTTCATTCATAATTTTATTAATTCTTAGCGAAGCACAATTTTTATTATATTTAATTTTTATAAAGTATATTTAAAATTATATTTAACATATTCGACCATTTTTATTTATTTATTTCAATACTCGACAATTATTTTCAAGGAAACGACATTTCGAATTAGAAAAAAAAAAAAAAAAAAAAAGAGAGAGAAAAGAAAAAAACAGAAAAGAATACTACCAGCACGAACGATAAGTTTTCATTTATCAAAGTTATCAAAGAAACTTCATTTCCAAAAATTCAAAAACCAACTTCATAAATGAACTCGTCAATGAAAATCGCGATATAAAAAAAAAATAAAAAAAAAACTATCACCAAAATTAATTGACAAGTAAAATATTTACACGTTCACGGAAAAACTTCAAATCACAATCATAAATGAGGATCACGAAAATGTTATAAATACAAAAAAGAAATTGGAATATTATCAGCACCGATGATGACAAACGGTTATTGAAATGTTGTCGGAATAAATTCCAAGTGGAAAAATTCCAATTCAAATTAATTCATTTGAATAGATGAAGATCGGCACACTAACTTCAAGAGGGAACTGTGACGATTAATTTAACCAAATTGCACGGAGTTACAGCACCGCGTACGATTAAATTCCGAAAAGACGAATGTGAACTGTACCGTGTATGCAAAGCAGTGACGTATGACGGCGAGCAGACCTTTGAAACGGAAACACGAGCGAGAATGGAAAGTTGACGGGAGTTTACTTGCCAAACGGATGATGGCCCTTATCAACCTCCTTCCCTCTTATATACTCCCAGATAATGACGGTTCAACCGCGGACAAAATAACTCGTGTACGCTGTACTATGTAACGAAAATTAGTTTTCAATAAATCGAATGGATCGCGATCTCGATGGATCGAAATTTGATTTTTCGATTTTGGAAATTTTCTTCCTGATCTTGAAACCACGGAACGTTTTTCTCCTTTTCTTTTCTTTTTTTTTTTTTTTTCCAAAATAAGAAGCGTCTATTTTTATCGAGGAAAACTACAATCTTCAAAAATTTTGACTTTTCTAAATTCTTCTGGTTCATCTATAGATAATAATGCGATTTTTTTTTTCATTTATCTAATTGTGATGAATAATTTATAATGATTAATGATTTTCGACAAAAATATTTGTGTTTTAAATTTTTCTAAAGAAGTAAGACTTTTTTTCTTTTTTACTCTGTACATTGTATTTGAACTTTGATCCTTGATTTCTTTGTCAATTTTTTTTTTTTTTTGAACATTTATGTATTTACGAAAATGATTATTCATTGTTATAATCATTTTCTTCTAAAATCTTTAAATTTTAGTAAAATTATTTTTATCGACTGAACTTGTTCCTCTCTTATTAAATAAATAGATAACCTTTGCTTGATAATTTAACGTTAAATATCTGTTGATATACATAAATGATATACGTTGAACAGTATGTAATGTATAATTATCTTCAACGTTCTATTTTATCTCGAACAAGAAAGACTGAAAGATTATTTATGTATCTCGTTATAGGATAACGTTCTTATGAATTAATAATTTTTTGACTGAGATTCGATATAAAGACTAAGATTATTATTTTTTGGAAAATAATTAATCTTTTTAATTTTTAATCACAAACAATTGCCATTTGATTTTTAAAAAATTGTAAATATATTGAAATTATGTATAACAAAAAATTATTCATTCTTTTATAAAAAAAAAAAAAAAAAAAAAGGAAAGAAAATTTTATTGTCGTGTAAAAAAAATATTCCAAGCATTTTAAATCTTGTTTTTTCGAAATTCAGAAAAGAAAAGTTTTGAAGGAAAACTTGTAATTATCTTGGGAAATAGAAATTTATAGTAAATTCATTTCTATTTCACAAAATTCAATTTTATTATATATAGCTTATCGAAATGCATTTTTTTAAATGCATTGAATGAATGTTGATAAAGCAAATATTATGCGATTATGTGAGTTCAACCTTGATACACTTGGTATCAAGAAGTCGAGATTACTTGAATAATTTAAATTTTATAATTTTCAATTTTTCTAAATTTTTGAATTTAATATTTCGATGATTTTTTTCGTAATAGTTTTACAATTTTTTTTTTATATTAAATATAATATTTATAACATATGATTTTTTTCAATTATTTTAAAATCATTTACATATTAAATGATTATAAATTAAATAATTAAATAATAATAATATAGTATCAAAGGCTATATTTTATGGACATTCTAAATCTTAGATTACAAAAATAATTTGTGACTTAACATTATAATCTTTTATTAAAATTATATGATATTTAAATTGTCTTGTATTCAATAACAATTAGTATTTGGAGGAATTAATTGATAGATTCGACAAACGAATTTTCGATAGCGTCGTTTTTCGCAAGAATGTTTTAAAATTCCTTTTTACTCTCTTTGTTGTCGAGTTTTCGCTTGTTTAAATTCAACCGCTGTCGTCGAATGATGATGCCTCCTGTTGAAACATTCGTGTCATATATATAAAAGTACATATCCTATGTTTTGCAAGATTATCATTCTAAAAATATATGTTGTAAAACCAAGATTGTAATAATCTATATTTTTTACATTAAAGATTAGATACATAGTTGCGACAGGAAAATGATAAAAATAATGTTTAATTAATATTTTGTATTTTCGTGTCTGCCAAGAGGAAGTAGACAAGGAAAGTAAATAAAAAGAAAAGGAAAAAAGAGATAAATAAAAATTGACCATCAGTTCCCTCTTTTGCGCATTAAAGATATTTTTTCAAAGCATGATAAGATAGAACAAGAATTGAAAACTATCGCCATCTCTTGATGCTTAAAGATATCTCTTAAAATTGTCAAAAGATGGCATTGAACTTTACTTTTTCTATCTTCTTTCTAAAGAGATAGCACTGATACAATTAAATGAACTGATCAAAAAATTTTGTTTTTGAAAATGTAGAGTTTAAAAAATAAGTATGAAGAAAATACGTATAAAAGTGAATGAGTATATCTAATTTTATAAGTAGAAATAATTAAAATGATAAAAAAATATTTTGTTTTTGAAAGTTTTTGAGGTGGCTCACGAAATTTTTTAAAAAATTCTAAATTTAAAAAATTCTGGCTAAAATTTCCATTAAATAAATTTTTTTCATTAAATAAATATAATTTTAGAAAAAGTGGCATGCGAAATTTTTCATGAAATTCTCAATTTACAAATTTTTAGTTAAAATTTCGATTTTGTATTAGGAAAATATAATTCTAAAGGAGGTAACACACGAAATTTTTCATGAAATTCTCAATTTACAAATTTTTGATTAAAATTTCGACTTTTTATTAGGAGAATATAATTCTAAAGGAGGTGGCACACAAAATTTTAGATCAAAAAATTCTAAATTTAAATATTTCTGGTTAAAATTTCGATTTTTTATTAGAAAATGATGCTTTTAGAAGTGTTTAGTATTCAAGAGATGGCGTTAATAACCAATTCTTACACTTTAATCTTTTTCCTTTTCTTTTTTACTTTCTCACTCTTTTTATTTACATTAGTTTCATTTACAGCATTTAAAAGATGGCGCTAATTTCTCCTATCCTATCTCTATTCTTCATTCACTATTTGCCCTTCTTGTCTATATTTGCTCTTTGAGTATGACCGCATACTGCAGGAACAATTAAAAACACATTTTTATTTCTTTTTCTATTGGGCAACTACAATGTGGATTTCTAAGATTATATATATATATAAATTAAAACATATATTGTTCAATTTTTATTTGAAACATGTTTTAATATTACGAAAACAAAAGAGATAGAAAATTGGTAAAATATAAAGAAATACAATGTTTTTTAATATATTTTATTTCATTTTTCTTAATATAATTTACAAACTTACTTAACTCTCGTATAAATCTAAAAATATAGGTAGTCGTGCATGACGTAAACTAATAACATAGATAATAACAGGACATTTTTAAACCGTTCGCGAATTTTTAATTCATCCTGCAAAACGGCGTTCGTTGTACATAGTACATTGTACATTTTCATATATAACTATACAGCAAATATGTTAAAAAATAGTACAAAATATTTTAATTTTTCTTTTGAACATTCTCTCTTTTTCTCTTTCACTTTTTTCACGCATACTTTCACGCACACATACACATTCTCTCTTTTTCCATCATTTTCACGCTTATACACATAGGCAATTTCATTCCTATCTTAATGCGTATCTCGAAATAGAAATTACAACATTACAATAGCTCTCATTTTTCTCATCAGAATATTTAGCTTCGTATTGTTTGCAAATGTCTGTTACTTCCTGATGAGACGCTTCTTCACGTCGATAATAAGTATAACTACCGTATGCAAATATCTTTTTCGTTAGAACGGAAATGGAAAAAATTAATCTTCTTTTTCTTGCGAAGTTTTTTTTTTATTATTCAAGGAAAATAAACCTGATTCATTCTTATCCAATTTTATATGCTAAACTAATTTCTTTCTCTTCCAAATTCTTTTACAGAAAAATTAAGAAAAACTTCTTTTTATATCTTAAGGTAGCACAAAAATAATCATTCGATTTCAATATTATTTTGCATTATAATCCTTATCCCTTTTCAAGAAATCATCATCCATAAAAATTCCTCTCCATAAAACACGAGAAATTCGAACACAAAAGATTAAACCATGATTAAAGTCGACGAAGAAGCGATCTCGGCGAACGAATTCCACGGACAGTTCCTCCTCGAGAAGAAACGCGTTTCGACCGGTAGTAAAACCGATGGGGGATCACCGTTGCGGTCAGACGTTGCATTCTCGATCACAAAAGGACCCTTAATGATTCTCGAAGAGTGGAAGGAGAGAAAAAAAAAAAAAAAAAAAAAAAAAAAAAGACGAAAAGAGGGAACGGTCTAGGGTCAGAAATATTTTTAGGAGAGAGCAGGTACCACCTAAACCAAGTAGCTTCGATATCTTATTGCACCTGTCACCTGTGGCAACGGTGGCACAGGTTCCTCCTGTGCCCAGGAAATTTACATCATCCTCTCCTCGGATCGTTGCGGATTATCCATCTTTTTTTTTTATTCGCACTTTTTTTATTCTTTTTTTAACGAAACACGATTCTCTCCGTTTCCAATTCTCCCGTGTTCCGATTTTTGTCGCGAATTTCCCCCTCGTAAAGCGTATAATAATTAGGCACATTTATTGTACATTCATTTCGTTGTCTCTCGAAGAACGTTGTTCTTGTAGGATTTATGTACATCCTGTTGTTCACAAGTCATTCGACACTTCGCTTCGTGATATTCTTCAGGTGTCCATTTTGAATTTGAATTAAGAATTTTTACGTGAAACGTCGTGATTGTGACAATTATGGAATAGATAAATAGATGTATGTATCAAAAAAAAAAAAAAAAAAAAAAATTGTAACCAGAAATTTTTCGATGATCCAATGATTTCCAAAGTTTCTTCAAGATTTTATGTATTTAGAAAATATTGTTTTTAACTAATTTACAGTTTCTAGTTAATTGATATCTACTATTTTTTTTCTCTTTTTTTTTTTTTTTTTCAGTCATCTTAATCCAAGGACACTCATAAGACGTAAGATTGGAAGATCGATGTTATATAATTATAAAACATATTGATATATCCGTTAAATAAATTTCTCTACGATTTCAGTAAATAATACACAGAATATTTGTCTAGTGATGATCTATATAAAAGTACAAAGTTTTTATTCATTCGCAACATGTGAGATAAAAGTTTCATTGTTAACTGGATCTCATAGTTCTATATACAAATACGTGCTCTCAATGCACTAATACAATAAAATTCTCATCGAAGTTAACACTCTCAATACCTTCACTTGTTGTACTCTTTTCTTCGTGTTTTTCTCTTTATTTGTTGAATGTAAAAATATACTTATAGTACAATTAAAGTTGAATAAGTGCAAGAATAATCCATCATCGATCTATTATCATTGATTATTCTTTTCTATGTTTGGCAAAATACAAAATATTTTGGAATCTTTCGATCGAACCAGAGTTAAATTTCGATTCTATTATTCCATAAATATCTAATTTGAATCGCCATTTTCCTATACTATTCAACTTTTATTGTATCTACAATTCTACAAATAAAAATTCGCTTTAGTTACCAATATTATTTTAAATCGTGTCGAACAACGGTAAAAATATTGTCACGACTTTTTTCATCACATTTCAGTTTACGATTGGATATATCAGGTAATAAAAATATTGAATTTTTTACATAATAATTAATAAAGATTAAAATAATATAATTTTTTTTTTTTGCACTTTTCTTGTAAATCGATAACTCGATAAATCGATAACTCGATAAATTTCCAATATATTTTCTAATACTTTGACACATATAACAATTATAAACGCTCTTTTCTAAATAAACATTCTTAATAACAAATAAAAATACGATAAACATTAAATCTACTTTTTTTATTTATTTTTATTTGCTAATTTTTTTTGTCTATTAAAAAAAGATACCGAATATTTAACAATTAAAGTAAAATAATATTCATTTTAATTCTGTAATAAAAAAAAAAAAATACAAATTATACATTTACAACTTAATAAAATAAACAACACCACAGTCTGTTACAATGCTTTCGAAATTTTTAATCTTTTGATGGATACTTATTGAGCACGAGGATTCTACGTATATCATAGATAGTTGCTTCAAAATAGAATTGAAAAAATATTTCACTTTCGTGACGATATTTCTATCATTGTAAAAACGATTCTCGTGTCAAGATGACAATTCAAGAAAAAAAAGAATTTGACACTTTTACTGCTATTGAAATTTAATTTTTTTTTCCAACTGATTAAATTAATTTAAATTTGAATATATAAAACAAAAAATAAGTTTTTTATAAAAATAATTAAACGAGTAGCAGCAAAAGTGTTAAATAATTGCAGGATTTATTTATTTTCTATAATAAGAGAAATAATAAAAAAAAATGTAACAAATTTATTACAAATTCTTTGAAACGAAGAGAATATCAACATGTCTGGAAGAATAATGGCACAGTTATAAAACAAACTTTGAATTAATTAGAATTATCCCAATTTATCTTATTTTTACTTCAACGATGTAATATGGCTCATCGGCAATTCAATTGTGTCATCGTCCTTCCAGAATTGCAGCAACAAAAAAAATCTCACACATACAAATCCTATCCACACTCCATCTTTCACCTTTCGCCGCATCCAAAAAAACGAAAACGAAAGTTCCTTTCAGAAAATAATCGATCACTTGAACCATATTCCAAATGACGTCCAAATAACGATCTCACTTACGGCCCAATAAAAACAGTCCTACGTGTACCCAATCGAATTTCACAGCAGACGATCATTTGGTATTCACCGATAAAACAGATTCTCCCTCTACCGACGCATAATATCCGCTATAGTGAATCCTTGCCTGGCAGGAGCAGGTCTGGGTGGGGGTGGTGGTTGAGGGGTGGGTGCTCTGGGTGGTCGTGATACCTCCTCCTCCCTTTCCCTCTCGCGCTCCCTCTCTCTGCTTTGCTCGATGTCACGTTCTCGCTCCCTCTCGCGTTCTTGCAGTTCCAGGAGCACCCTGGACGGTCCTGGCGAGCCTATTCTTCGTCTGTAGGAAGTTAGGATTAACGGGGGCGGGGGTGGTAACGCGCCTGGAGGATTCTGAGCGACGGAGTGGCCGCCACTTCCACTGCTGGTCACAGTGGACGGTTTCACGGTAGTTGGGAGTAGATCTCTTCTGATTTGTAGTTGAGGTCTCTGAGGAAGGGTGGATGCTGAAGTTGGAGGTGGAGGCGGTTGCGGTGGTCCCGACGAGGCTTGAGGAGGGTAAGAAGCGTTCGTCCCCGAGGATGGTAACGTTGAATTGGTAGTGGACGCCGAGGACGACGAGCCAGGCTCCGGACAATCCTCTTCCGGGCTGTCGTCGTCTCTGAGCGCCTCCTCGAGCGCTTCTGGTGGCACATCACCGACTGCATGCGTCAATGCGTGTCTCCTTAGGTCGCAGTTTCGGCGGAACACTTTGCCACAGGAGGTACACTCGTACGGCTTGTGATCTGTGTGTGTGAGGAGGTGGGTTTTCAGATTGCTGCGTTGATTAAAGCTTCGAGCGCACACGGGACATTTGTGGGGCGATTCCTCCATGTGGAGAATCTTGTGCACGGCCAGGGTACGACTCTGGCAGAAACCCTTGCCGCATTCGCCGCATTTGAAGGGCTTCTCTTTGCTGTGGATGTACCTGTAACGAGCATCCCAGTTTCGGTTATATAACTGCTGGTTTATATAACAGAGAACTTCAAATCTTTAGAAAAGAAAAATTTGGAAAGAAAAATTGCAATGATGATATTCGCAGAAGAAATGTTGTAAAAGTATTAAAATGAACATTTAAAAATATTCACAGCAAATGTGCATAATTAACAAAAAAAAAAACAATAAATAAATAAATAAATAGCAAACAAGAAGGAAAAAATTACCTATGATCTCGAAGGTGATCCTGCCTTCTAAAAGCTTTGCCGCAAATGTCACAGGAGTACGGTCTCTCATCCGTATGCGTTCTTTCATGGATCAACAAATTGTACGATTTCGTAAACTGCCGATTACAGAATTTACAGATAAACTGTTTCTTAGGCCTGGATGCCCTTCCCGGCGCTCTGAGCAATCTCCTATCCAAGTGTTGATGCGCGAGGGGTCCACCAGGTGGATAGAGTGCCGACCCAGTCGGGAATGGGCCAGCGAATACCGGATAACCAGGCGGTGGTTCGAGCAGAGGCGGTGGAGGAAGCAAGAGAGCCCTTGCCGCCAGTTCTTTCCGCTTGTCCGCCATCATAGCCATGATCTCGTAACTGGACGAGGATTTTCTCGCGACGGATGGTTCTGCACCGACCTCGTGGTCCGGATTCGACGTGGTCGACGAGGACGGTGGAGGGCCGGTCAGGTGAGGATGCATATCGCCTGGATATGGTGCCAAGTGTAGCCTGGAAGGTACCACGGGCACAAATGCAGAGGACTCGCGATGGTGAGGGTGGCCCAATCCAGCGACCAGACCATGTCGATGATGGTGATAAGCGGCCAGAGCGCTAGACGGATCGAAGCCCCTCGAGGTCGACTGCGCCGCTGATCCTGAGGATGATGCGCTCGCCGAAGAGGGAGCCGACCTTGGTGACGGCCCAAGGCCTAGCTCTCGACCTCTGCTTGTCTCCTCCGTGACCGTGGCAGAGGCCGAGGCCGACGACGCCACGATGTCCGTCGGCATACCGATGACACCTGTAATTCGAATCAACCCTTTTGCTGCTGACTTCTGCCTAACTTAAATCTCGCGATGACACTGACGAATGGATATGGGTGTAGTATAGTTTATGTTCGTTGAAGAGGGAAATTTTGGCACGAATGAAATTGTGAATCGATTGGTACAATTCGAATCTTTAATCTGGATGGATATCGATAAGCGTAAAAGTTCGCGTTGAGTTTTATCGTTTGTCAAATTGGTGAATTGAGTTTGGATTTGGGAGTTTTGTTTATGTGTAGTGTATTAATTTGATCGTATTTATTATTATTTACAAATAATCTAATAAAATATTATGAAAAATAGAATAAACGATGTTTTTCACTTATGTTGTTTTTGATTTATTATAGTTCGATTATTTTTATTAATTTTTATAAATGTAGCGATATAAATTGGATGGATATTATTTTTCGTGACATGTCATATTGTTAAATATTTCTACTTCTATTTTACTTTCTGATAAGATAAAATAATAAATATATTTTACGACGTTTACTCGGAAATAAATGATTCACACTTCTAAGAAAAAAAAAAAAAAAAAAAAAAAAAGAAAAAGAAAAACCAACTACGATACATTGAAACGACACAGTTTAAATTGACTTTCACATTGTTGCAAAATGGTAACGTACACTTTGATTACGAAATGATTTGGAAACGCAATTCAAGGACTTCATCTACATTTGTAAATGTTTCTTTCTCTGAACTTAAATTCTTTTTTTATCTTTCACTGGACGATAAAAAAAATTTATTTGAAAAAAGAAGATCTAAGTATTTCGAATGCAATACTAACACATATGCATATTATTATTAATTCTTTGGAATTAATTAATTGCAGGAATCCACGTGACAAGGTTAAGTGTAAACGTTAAACATATCCGCCATCTTGCATTCGTCTGTGACTTCCATTAAACATCGATACGCATAGTTTCATATTCTGAGAAATATTATTCTTCTCTAATACTTCATGTCATTATCGTAATGTCTTCGCCAAAAACTTTCACTTGCAATACATTTCGAATACGATTAAAAAATTCTATTACTTTCATCTCACTTCAAATCAGATCTCAAATTCAGGTATCTTTGAACTTAATTTTTTATCTAATATAGTTATTCATCTTAAGAATTTCGTCCATTATTAATAAAACTATCAAGGAATATAAGAAAAAGAGCAAAATACTTCGATCCACAACAACCCATTTGCAATAATTAATATTCCATTAACACACAATGAATCGCATGAAACCAACACAAAACAAAACAAATTCTTCCTAACCCATGACCAATTATTAAAATTCATATCATCAACGGGGACGAGATTTTATCTTATAATTCGCGTTCCTCAGACAATTGTGCGATAATACGTGGAACGTACGCTCCCGTTTGCCAGCCGCGTGCGTTCCACGATCGTGAACTGGTTATCTCGAGCCGAGCACACCTGCCAACATGGCTTCCGCGGACCCAGCGGTCACGGCTAGTCCTAGCGGCCATGTTGGAATCGCCAATGCCCACTGGAATGTGACGAACGTGGACCACTATCCTCTCCTCTATCCCTCCGAGTCACCCATCGAAATCGAAGCGAACGAAATCACGCCAAACCACGACCAAAAAATCCTTTCGATCCATAGAATATAAGCTCACCAGGGAAACGTCGGCCGTCGAGAACACTTCCCGATCTCGCGTTTACTCTCCACCGATATCGGTCCACCGTCGCATCTCCGACGTGTGATCCTGTTCAGCGATCGTTGGCGGAAGCATTCGTCGCGACACCAGTACAGGCTACATCGAGTCGCTTTCACGAACGATATCACTGTTCGTATTTCGGTCGTTTTATCGCGAAACCATCCACTAGCACTCGCGTAATCACACATACACGATACACTTGTGAGCCAACTTGACGAGAGGGATACACGAGTTTTCGAATCCGCACGCACTCGCGAAACACGAACTCTTCGAACAATTCTTCACGACACCCTAGCGAGAAACACTGCTCTCCTTCAAGAGAAATCTTGGCGCAACACTTGGCCCTCGAGGCAAGGTTAGTACGGAAAAGTTATAAAATCGCGGTTGGCGAGCATAGAGACGCGACACCCGTCCCTTCGGTTTCACGATTGTGGATACGAAGGAGCGCGCGGTTTACTGCGTGTTGGACGCCGCCAGGTAGGCTACCTCGGCGCACACCCACGCAGCCGAGGCACACGCATAGTCTACACGCACGCGAGCACACAAGTAACCAGCCACGACTTGCCTGGGAGTCTTTCCGTTCGGCTGCCGCTAGTAGCGCTGCTGCTGGATGCTGTGCGCCGACTGCCTCGCTCCTGGCCCGACCACGGTGCGACAGAGTCCGATGGAACCGGCCAATGGGAGTCCAACCGAGACGCAGGAGAACCTGGAGCAGGCCCTAGCGATGGGACCGACACCCTTCCGCCTAATTCCGATGGAACAAGTTTCATGATGATGTTTATTCCAGAGATTGTACACGTACAAATGTTGAATTATATTTATGATCGATCCGATATACAGAGAAAATGGATGTAAGCTCTTCTTTGTTGGTTGTTTAACAATAAATTTTTAATTTATTAGATAACTCAGAAATAATCGTTTTGATGAATTTTTTTAAATATTTTGAATATGAAATATTACGTATATGTAATATTTTTTTTCTACAAAGTACAATTATTTTTAATTTGATATACAAGTACGTATTTGTACAGTATAAATGAAAAAATGATTGATTTTATTTCGTGTACGTGATACAAAAATCTAAGGAATTTAATCAAGTAGCATTTTTAATGTCACATTAATGTCCACTATGTCTGCAAAGGGTTTAATTTAAATGGAAACGAAGTCAGGAGTGCAGAAATACGGGAGTGATTTTACTCCAACATGCATGGACAAACATGCGAGGATATATTTGCATAGTCTACGTACGGGTTGAATTTAATTTGCATGAAAATTTAAATTGAACACGCAAATAAGAGTTGAAGCAATGTAGAAACGTAAATTCTTACAGAGGATTTAAGAAACGTGACACGATGATTACATTAATGTAATTTACAACTTGTTGGAACAGGGAATCGTAAATATGTTACGATAAAATCAGATAAATAAATATAATAATTGGTTAAATCATCATGTTATGTACACGAACATATATAACATTTCTGAAATTCTTCAATTTCACTTTCACACTAAAATTTTTCGTTGTAGAAATGCAAATATATTTTTATCGTTAGAATACTTACTAACTTATAGTTAGAATACTTTATCGTTAAAAATTACCTTAAAGAAATATCGTTGTTCTCAACATACAATTCCGATCAATTCCCCAACAATGTTGCAAACGAAATTTGCTTCTACTAGAAAACTTTATTCAGCATCGAATCCATCGCTAACAGAGACGTAGAGCAAAGGGGACCAGGAACGAGGGAGGGAGATCCACGGGTATCCTATCTACCAGTGCCTACGACGCGATGCCGCGCAGGTTGAACGCAGGAGGTTTAGGTAGAGACGTGGTATGAGAAACAGGTGCGTAATACTAAGATTCGGTGCCCCCCTGATCGATAAACACCAATCTTTAAATCGAACATTCCCATAAATCCATCGAGAAAATTTCATAAATACATACACATCTCTTTCAAATCCTTTCTGAAACTTCTCTCTAAATATCACTCCTCATTTTTTCATCGAACAATTTCAATTTTCTTAAAGAAACCCATACTTAGACGTATCTGATCAATTCGATTCAATTCTTTCAAAAGCGAAAAACGAACCACGCAAAAACTCCGAATCTTTCATGGATTATCTTTCGTTTTAACCATCCCTTAAAGAATTAGTTATTTATTACATTCCACGAGAAAATGGCGGAATGATTATTTGTCAGAGAATAGAGGTAATCGCGTCACGTTCGAAATCACGAAGTTCGGATGGGGTCTGGGTGTACGGAAGGTAAAAAATCGTGGGGCAGGTTGTAAGTTTCCACCTGTAGGAAACTCGTGCGGCGCCGGCACTGAAGAAGGAGATCGGTTGTTGGTGGGCGGGAAGGGGAGAGGCCAGCGGCCAGAGGCACTTCACAGAGAGATCGAGCCTCGATCTTTCTTCTTCTCTACGTACTTGTCTCTCTCTCTCTCCCTCTCTCTCTCTCTTCTTCCCTGCCCGGTCCACATCCAGTCCATCCCTCTCCATCCATACTCTGGACCCGTACTTTTTTCTTTCTTTCCGTCTCTTTTCTGCTGGCAGCAGCCGCCGCCGCCGACGCCCAGCCGGTTTTACACCGGCGAATCGATCCAATCGAGTGTGTCTCGGAAGAACGAGGCTGGTTCTAGTTCATGGATCGTGGATTTCGCTCCACTTGCCTAGAACAACCGGCGTAATTGTTCGTCTGCGCTTCGTGGGGATTTTACTCGCGATCGCAGCGCCTCGGCCGTCGTGGCTGGGAAGGATCGAACCGAGGTGAACCGAGATACTGCTCGGAAGCACAGGAACATTGTTCGAGATATGCGTGTCCATGGGACGAGGTTTCTTCGTTTCGTTTTGGTTCACCTTCGGTTTCTTACGGTGGCTACATGAACCTTTCGTCTTCCTTTCGCGAGGCAAGAGTCGTCGTCGAGGGATCGAATGGGTTTTTCGGTGTCTTCTTCTCCTGTTAAGAAAGAGATCTTTTCTATGGGCAAGAGTTGATTAACTATCCTTCCGAACTTGATTGGATATGGAATAAAATTTTTTTGCTAATTTTTTATTTCTGTATTAATTATTGTTATTATTCAAAAATTATTATTGAAAAAAATATCAAAAGACGAAACACGTTTACCTATCGATCCTTCCCTTCTGCTTAAAGCGACTAGGAATTCCAACGTTGCGATTAAAGAATGTTGAATTGCTTAAGAATAATTCGATGATCGTATCCTTTTTTTTACATGCTTGTTTATCTAATTATCATTATCACGAAGGATGAATTGCTACATACCAAGAATATCTCAAACGTAAACACGTTTTGAATATTTTTTAACGTTTATCATACGAGATAGGTATTTTACAGTTAATTGATTGATTATCATTTAATTATTTATTAACTAAAAGAATAAAACAGAGTAAAAAACTATACCAGTAAAATTATTTTAATATCAAATAATATTTAATAATAATTTAATAATATTTAACAATAATTTTAGAGTTCAAGATAAACGCGAATGTATTTAAAAATATCGCGTTAAAATTATTTAAAATTTATTTATAGTAATTGAAGTTTGAGTTAGGTAAAGTGAGACGGAGATAGAATGACATGGCGCGCCACTCTGCGGCGGTGTAATGAAGATAAAGCTGTCTCGCTCTATCCCTATCTCCCTTTATCTAACGTAAACTTCAATTACACGATAAATAAAGCTCAATCGAAATTTTTTCGTACCAACTTTTCTGTTTCTTTCGACCTTTGGAATCGATCCTACGAACATATTCCACGAATATATCAATATCTTATATAAATCAGATCGATTCATTTCTCTTCTTGCGCAAGGAGAATTTTCAAACACACGAGTTCGAGCATTACTTATGTAATGATTTATTTACTGGCTTCGTATTCCATCTATCATATTCTCTCATTCACTTTGCTTTCTATCCCTGTTAAAAATCAATTCTCGAAATCGGTTCACGAGCGAGTTTGCCAATGGTCGATCGATAGACGACCTCCTGGCATGAATATTAGAATACGAATTTCGACAAGCATCGACCAACTCGCAGCGTGATCGTTTTCTCCGCAGCAACCGTGGAACAAACCCCCTATTGATGTTCTCCATCGATGTTCATTAACTATTTCTTAATGTCCCGTGAATTTATCGTTCCGCGTCGCGAGAAAGCGCGCCACTACATGATTAAAATCTGATTCCTCCAATTCCAGTCGCTTCTACGAACGTTTATCTTTAAAATATTCGACGTATATATTCCTCGCCAGAGGGAATATTTTTTTTTTTCTTTTTTTTTCCTCACTTTAATCAGAGAGATTTTAAGAATTTCGAATTTCGAGAAGTTTGAAGGGGAATCGAAGTTCATTAGAGAATGATGGCCACTTTTTTTCCTTTTCTTTTTTTTTTTTTTTTTATTATTCTCGCGTTAAGTACTTACACGCGTAGGTCAACCAACGTCTACCTGCAGGTGCATTTGTATTCACGAGCCGGCGACACGCAGTCGAGTGCAGCGTCGTGTAAACGCTGCAGGTACCTGCCAATGCGGACGAATCAGCTGCGTAGGAACGTTTTTATGCACCATCTCCGAGAGATAATGTAGTCGTTCTTTTCACGTGAGCCTCTTATATTGCCCGATCCACCGACAAAGACCCTCTAAGAATCCTTTTGACAAGTTTCCTTTTTTTTTCTTTCTTTCTTTTTTTTGTTTTTCTTCTTTTACGAATTTCGTGTCCCTGCCGTTGTGAAGTAGCAGAGGTTGCAATCAAAAAACGTGATTCGGGTATAACGTGATGTCGAGCATAACAGGATGTTGTGATTAATGAAGGGAAATTGACGTGTTTCGAAGCACGCTTACGATTTTTATTTGGTTAATCATTTTACAATAATTAAAAACGTTATTGTTTATCATGAAATAATTTTTCTTTTCGAAAATATATTAGGAATTTAGAGGCTAAAATGTACAACTTACACGACCGACTTATTTCGAGGATAAAAATGATTTGAAAATGCAAAAACGTGAAATGGTTCGTTGAAACGAAACGTTGACGAATTACTCGAGTAGGTTAACGGTATGCGGTGACGAGTGTCTTTTCCTAAAAGGCCCAGATACTAGGGAGAAGGTCAACACGGTTCCTTTAACGCGAGAGAAAAAAATGGAACCCGGACGACAGGTATTTTACATTTAAATATCGTAGCGATTACTCAGATGCAAAATATCACGTTGTACGTGATCTTATGTTCGAGAGCACAACGAGGATAGATATTAATGACAAAATTAGAGAAAAGAATCTACGCTCGAAGAGTTAACAAAATTTCTCTTCATCGATATTTAAAAAAAAAACATTTTATCGTGCAGCTATATAAAACTTTCGCTATTGTAAAGATACAAATTAATACACAACCAATAAAACACAAATTATTAATAAATTATTAACAGGATAAATTCTCAATTCTTTATTTAATTTTACTAAAATCACGAAAAATGAATATAGAAAATTTCCATCAATCCCATATTTATAACATCCGTTACAAGAATTTCGAAATCGACTTGTGCCAAAATCCTTTCTAATTATCATATCGATCCAATTAAACTGTCATTAAAATGCAATTTCCATCCAAATTCCTGCAAGAATCCGCTCCCATTTCCTTCCTCGTCCTTCATGGTACGTGATCAGAGCACGAGGAAAGGTGTACGCAAACGATTAAAACGCGAATCGTGCGAAGAGGCGGTTAGTTTCGGGAGGTCAGAGGACTCGGTCGGTACAAGCTTTTAGGCGAAGCGACA